ATGAAGTGCGTACGTATAAATACATGGTACTTATATTTACATACATACATACAGTAGCTGGAAAATAAATAGGGACACACCATTTTAACCAATTGTTCCTATTTTGCGTTTGTTTATTTAATATTTATTATCTTTTATAAAAGTATAGCACATTATCTAACAAAAACTATATAAATTCATAATTCAAACTTTGTGCAAAAATTATAAAAATTCTGCAAAATTACAAATAAATTTCCAACTTTTTAATCAGATTTTTTAGAATTTTTTTGAGTGTGTAGTTTTATAGCCCATTAAATTTTAGTAGAATGAAGTGTTAAGTTGCTAAAAAAATCGCGTTGATTTTTGGCGATTTGTTTTACCGAATTTTCTTCCATACAAAGTATGCTCGACAATTTTTATACCCGAGCGCACTTGTGCACAAGGGTATTATAACTTTGTTCACATAACGGTTGTTTGTAACAGGCAAAACGAATCGAGATATATATAAATGATCAGAATGAAAAGAGAAATCGATTAAGCGGTGACTGTCTGTCCGTCCGTCCGTCCGTCCGTCTGTGCACACGATAACTCGAGTAAAAATTGAGATATCTTAACGAAACTTGGTACGTGAACTTCTTTTGGGCGTGGGACGGATGGTATTGAAAATGGGCGAAATCGGATAATAACCACGCCTACCTCCCATATAACGGTAATTTTAAGAAATACGAAAACTGCGATATTTTAGTAACTACTGAAGATAATCCACTCAAAATTGATACTTACAATGAGTTTCAGACGGAAAACATGAATATTTTAAATTTTTGGAAAACGGGCGTAGCCACGCCCACTTATGGTTACATATGTATATCTTGGTAACCTCTGCACCAATTTCTTCCAAACTTGGCACAGTTGTTGGCCTTAGTACAGCATACTAAATGGCTGAAAATATTAAAAATCGGACAATAACCACGCCTACCTCCCATATAACGGTAATTTTCAGAAAAACGAAAACTGCGATATTTTAGTAACTACTGAAGATAATTCACTCAAAATTGATATTTGCAATGAGTTTTAGACGAAAAATGAGAATATTACAAAATTTTGGCAAATGGGCGTAGCCACGCCCACTTATGGTTACATGTGTATATCTTGGTAACCGCTACACCAATTTCTTCCAAACTTGGCACAGTTGTTGGTCCTGGTACAGCATACCAACTGGCCGAAAATTTCTAAAATCGGACAATAACCACGCCCACATCCCATATAACGGTAATTTCGAGAAATACAAAATCTTCGATAAATCAGTAAATATTGAAGCTAATTTACTCAAAATTGATGATTGCAACAATTCTTTACCAAGAAATACGTTTATGACAAAATTTTGGAAAATGGGCGTAGCACCGCCTACTTGTGATCACATATATGTATCTCGCTAACCGTTCTAGCAATTTGCACCAAGCTCGGTATGGTTATTGTGCTTGCCACATAAAAGCAAACCGTTGAAAATTGTTGAAATCGGACTAAAATTGAGGCCGCTTTTCATATAACGGTAAATTTCAGATATGCTTGAAATTTCAATATTTCGAAATTTAAGGACGCTAATTTACTTAAAATGTATACACCCCGGCTTAGCATGTAGCGGTAGCTTTCGGAAAGGTGGAAAACATATATTTAATACTTGCTCCGGGTATTTAATGTTCGGCTCCGCCCGAACTTAGACTTTCTTACTTGTTTTTTTTTTTTTGTTAAGTGCAAAACACACTCAAAAATCATTGCGATTTTGTAGGAACTTCTAACTTGCACTTTATTGTACTAAACTTTAATGGGCGATAAAGCTGCATACTCAAAAAAAATTCTAAAAAATCTGGCTAAAAAGTGGAAATTTATTTTAAATTTTGCTGATTTTTTATAGTTTTTGCACAGTGTTTGAAATATGAATTTATATGGGTTTGTGACATAGTAAGCTATACTTTTATAAAAAATAATAAATATTAAATATTAAATAAACAAAAGCGAAATAGGAAAAGTTTATTTAAATGTCGTGTCCCTATTCGTTTTTTCTCCACTGTATGTACATATGTTATTACAAGTGATGGTATTTGAAAAATTAAAACTTTGCTGATGAAAGTGGCACTATTTAAGAAAAATTTATAGTAGAACATTCGAGTATACGTGTATAACAGATTTCAATGATCGGGTCTAAACCAGATTAGTATGGGACCACCTCTGAGACACTACCTTTCCGATGCAAAAATCGGTTGACGTGGTCCAAAGTTATGCGGTAACATACATACATAAAAAATAAAAAAATAAATACAAAAAAATAAAATGTTTCGACGAACTGATTCCTCCTCCTTTTTTGGAAGTCGGTTAATAAACGAAATGGAAACAAGAGTTATGTATAAAACTGCATAAATAAAAATTCAGATCAAAACAGTTTAAAGTTATGAAGTTATGTATGATGACAATTTGTTAAGTTTTCCTAAATTTTGTATAGTTTGAAGCATCGATTTATATGGTTTTGATTAATAGAAAAATAATAACAAGTTTAACTTAGAAAGAGTGGTTCAACCAGACTGACCGCCCTATTCCCACAACACTGACAAAATTCATCATATGACTATTG